ACCAGGACGTTCTCTCAGTGGCAGTCGTTGTGGGCGATGCCAAGGCGGTGGATGGCCGTGACCCGGGTGAGCATATTGACACCCATCAGTGCCTTGACATCAGCCCCGACCCCACTGGAAGACGTGCACACCGACTTCAGCTTCTCGCCGCCGACTCCTTCTGCACCCACACAAAGAGCAAACGCACCACATTAGTGCAAGAAGGTCTCGTATGGTTCATACCCTTCTCTTTTCCACTCACCTGCGCCAACTCTAGCCATAAGAAGGCACGGGCCTTTCTCAAACTCCTCGCCCTCCTTGCTGCCCTCCTTGACGACCATCGGGCGCAGCTCTGGCACGTCCGCCAGGCTAGCTAGCAGGCTGGGGGCGATCTGCGGGCTGCCGGTGTGGCGGTGGGGCAGCCGAGTGAGTTGATGCTGGCGGTCCTCCATCGCTGCCCTCTCCTCCGAAGTGGTTAGAAGGATTGTCCTCAAATATAAAATGTAGGCAGTAATTTCTGAGCAAATGTCGATGTTGACACAAACATTGATGGACGCTGCCTCCTCCTTCTCCTCCGTCTCGTTCACCTCCTGGTGCGCTGTCTGCGGAGAGACGACCGCATGTGTACAGGTGACAGTTTACTGTGTGTGTAATATCCTACCATCCTTCTCCTCTCCTCCGCCCACTCCTGCATCTCCCGCATCGTCTCGCCCTCCAGCTGCAGGCTCTCGGCCAGCCGCTCAGCCTGTCTCCTGGTCAGCAATGTGAGCCCTTGAGAGGTGCCGTCGTCGTTGCCCAACGACCGAGCCAGGCTCTTTCGAACCACGGCCTCAGCGTTGGGCAGACGGCCCTCCCAGACCTCACACTCCCCCCTGCCACCCTCCTCTCCAGAAAAGCACTTGACCAGCTGCACCGACCGCACCAGGTCGATGGGTTCATCGCTGTGGGTGCTGCTGGTGGGCCGGTCGGCGTCAACGTGGGAGTGAGAGGGGGCGGCTGTGATGGGAGAGGCGGGCTCTGGGCCGGTGGTGGCGCTGGTCTCAGATGGAGCAGCCGCCGGTGCGTCGGGCGAGGACGGGGGCGACGTGGAGGAGGAGGGGTCGGTG